TTATTCCTATAATGACTAGTCGCCTGAGATCGCTGGTTCGAATCCTCAAGCCAGAAAACAGACAAAAAATGGAAAATACCCAGCAAAAACTTTAGTAGCCCTATGTGCCACTTTAAGCATTACAGGTAATGACTGCCATATACGATCTACAATACCTGAATTTCATTAGAAATGACAAATTCAGACCACCTGCACGACTAGTAAGCTTATAAACAATTGCAAGCCAAAATAACATACTTTTATCATACCAAGTAATGGGTTAGTAATGAGTTCCTAACTTACTTTTATCATAGCAAGTTATGGATAATGGCGGCACAGAGAGAGAGACGGCACGTTCGAATTCAATGCCGAAGAACGCTCTCTAAAAAATGTGAAGAATTTGCCAACGCACACACACTTGGCTGAGAACATGATTTGGTCGAATAACAAGCCGAAAATCGCCAGTTCAACCTCAACATCAGGCAAATAAAAAATGAAGTGTGGTGAAATTATTGTGTTTTTTTTTTAACTTCTTTATTGGCTCTTGGTGGCAGTTTGGTACTGACCAGCTCATATTCAAATAAGGGATTAGGATGCAATTTTGTAAGTAGTTACTGGTGCCAAAATCTACTTAATAAACCCATTATTTACTAATGAGATATTTTATTGGAAATTTATGAGCGCATGGTAGGTACGACTACCAACCAGAACATCGCCAGGTCAATCCCACCATCAGGGAAACAAAGAAAACCCCAAAAAGAATAATTAACTGTGGCGAAATTGAAATCTCATTCTAAAAATAGAACGAAGGGGGCTTTAAACCTATTTATTGGCTATTGGGGGCACATTGGCAAGTACCTACTCCACCATGACATGCCATTTTAAAATAACGGCATTTGTAAGTGGTTACTAGTGAAATAAATGTTTAAAATTAACTCATTATTTGGTAATGAGATTGGTAAATATGCCAAAAGTACATTTATCCTTTAAATTTTAACCCCTACCCTACTTGCCTTCCTTTAGTTGGGTTCCACTCTTTCTTTTGACTCCTTTTTGTCGTTTATTTTTTTTTTTTTTTTTTTTTGTTTTGGAATTTATTATATAATAAAATTTCACTAACGTCATCAACAGCATTCCTAGCTTGGCACCCAAAATTGTACAAAAACCAAAACAAAAAAACTAGTCTCGGAGAATGAGTCTCCCTTCATCAACTTTCGAATCCTTCATCAAATTTAATTGTAATTGTCATACAATTACAAGTATTATTTCGTGTCGACAGCCAACGTAGGTGTAATTAAAATTATTTCCATTCATTGCTAAGGGCAACAACAACAGTAACGACAACAACAACAACAAATTGATTAATTTGGGACCATCAACCTATTTCAAGTAGACGGTGTAGACATTTTGGAAAAACTGTCTGGAAAACATGGACCAAAATGAAGAAGTCAAAAACTATTCTTAAATCCAGTTATCAGTGGAGCGGACATAAAGCCCTGAAAATTATTCGAATCGTAGAATACTAGAAACCTGGATTTGCAAAGAAAAATTACTTTATGAGAATGTTAGCCACTTAAAACCTCTACCAAGAACCGAAATGCAAGCCAAATTTAAATAAAATATTTTCTTTTCTACGGCTTTCTCTATTTATTTTTGGCGGGACATTATACGTTTGTTTAGGACTAGAAGTGTATTACACCTAGAAATTTTAACCCTAGCTGAGTCGATCGAGCTTTGTGTATCCATACATATTTCTGTCAACTTTAATTGTAATCAAACTCTAGGCCGCAATTACGAACTAATCGCTGCGATATTTAACTGATCGCAAAATATTTAGGAGAGAGAACTTTTAGTCTAATCTTGATTTTGCGTCATACAGGTTATCAGCAGCCACAGTTCGGGCTAGATTTGGGGACATGCTAAAAGTCTATAAATTGTAGACATTATAGTCACGTTTAAGTTTCCAATAGAGACTTTAATAAGAGTCAATTGTCCGGAAATTTCATGGTTCCGAGCAAAAACAATGCCAGCACTGACTACCTCACATTTCAAGAAGTCATCGACCCTTCAGATTAATGAAAGGAATCACTCAAAAAAAAGTTTGCCCCTAGAAAAAAACCCCCAAAAGTTACCACGCCTTCCATAAACTTCACCATACTATAGAGGGTCCATACTAGCATTCAGCATTCATTAGCCATACTTTTTTATGTAGCCGGCCTTCGCCGGGACTCAGAATTTTCTCCTCTAGGTATGTCTTAGAGGATTTATTGCTGTTTTCGATAAAGTTATCAATTTTAGTAAAACTATGGTTCATGTAGCCGGTATTGGACATACACAGAGGAGAAAATCACGAAATCTGACAGTTCTACTTAACTAGTGTTATTCCCAATCTCTTATAAATGTGAAATAAAAGTCCGATGGTCTTCAAATTTCGTACATATGAATATTTCAACAAATTCTTGAAGATAGGATAGATCAGACCACTTGTTCTGGTACCTCCCCCACAATGGGTCAAAATATTGAATAACTAAAACGCTCATAAAATGCGCACAATTAAATATTAAATATTTCTATCACCACATCATCTGGTGTAAAGATGGCATATATATCGGTTGACTCCCTCTGATACATCGCCCCACAAAGGGTTCAAAATTTTGAATAACCAAAATGCTCATAAAATGTGAAATCAGCATCCGATTCTTTTCAAATTTCACATATCCTAGTATTTTTTTCATTACAAGATCTGGCATGCATATGAGATATATTGGCTCACTCCTTCTGGTACCTCCCCCACAACGGGTCAAAATTTTGAATAATTATATATTTCATAAAATGCGAAACATGTCGGTGATTTTCTTCAAACTCACGTATATCTCTGGAGCTTCGTGTTTATCTCTACCAGACATCTGGTGTGAATGTTGGAGTTATTGACCCTAAAAGGGGTCAAAATTTTGAATAATTATCTCTATTATCTAACTCTTAAAAGTGCGAACAATGTCAGCGATTCTTTTTAAACTTGGTATATCTCAATATTTCTCTTAACCAAAGATCTGATGTAAATATGAGATATCTCAGTCCACTGATTCTAGTAACTCCCCCACAAGGAGTCCGCATTTTGACTAACAATTTTTTTTTTTCGCATAAAATTGTAAATTCAGACAAAATTTTCCAAAAAAAATATATATCGATATGGTCCAAACCTGGAACGTCTCAATATTAATGATGGACCAAGGTCATTCGGTACTATCCACATAAAGGGTTGACATTTTGAGTAATCATAACGCGAGACAAAATATATTTAAATATCCAGAAATTTGTGGTGTTGTACATCTGTCGGTAAAACCGAAGGATACTTTTTAAATTTCTCTCGTTTTTGAGTCGAAAATCTGGTCATTTCATCAAATCTCAACATAAATTCACCTTCAGGTTTTGAAAACATTTATTTCTCCGCCTAATTATTGGAATTCTTAGAGTCGCTTTAATTGGGATTTTGAGGGGTTCATAAATGCAATAAAATCCCAAAAATTTTCAAAATCTGTACAAGGTTTGTACATATAGTCCATATAACGGCAATACCAGATTTTAAGTAGATGGAAGCATTTAGCCACTAGTTTCAACTAATTTCATGTAATTTGAACATTTCAACATTTAGAAACCTCATTATATCTTTATCCGTTTCACTTTCAGAACGTTAGAAGCCGATGTAGAAGTGTAGATGCGTCTACGCCAAGCTTGATTTCGATGGACTTCACACAAAGAGAATGCCTAAATTTCCCATAACTTTTGGAACTACTCTTGCTTAGTAAAAATTCTCGATCTTTTGAATTTTTTTTCCAGAGGTGGGTATTTTTACCCTGAAAGAAAGTATTTTTTCTTGGGGGACGGATCCGGGTACCCCTATATTTGATCCAAAAGTCCGGGTCCAAGGCCCGGTAAAGGCCTTACTAAATCGATATGTACAATATGAAAGCTAATGAAAATACCTATCCAACAAGAGGTCACATGATGCGATTATTATAAAGGGTTCCAGAGTTGTATCCAAATTCCCCTTTTTTTTGGACTTGGATCTATTAAAAATCCCCCAAAAGTCAAAAAAGGTCTCATTTTGTACAGATTTGATATAATTTGAGCATTTCTAACCGAACATTTATGAACCTCACTATATATTTCTCAGTTTCATTTTCAGAACGTTAGAAGCCGATGTGGAAATGCTCGTTCACTAAGCTGGGTCGACGGATTTCACATAAGGAGAATGAATAATTTTTCACAATTTTTAAAAAAGACTCTAGTTTAGTAAAAAACATCTCTACTTTTTTTGTAATTTTTTTTTCCAGTGGTGGGTAATTTTACCATGATTCCAGGAAAGTATTTTTTTCTTGAGAGACGGGCACGGATACTCCTATATTTGCTCCAAAAGTCCTATCCAACAAGTGGTCACATTATGGGATTATTTAAAAAGGGTTCAGAGTTGTATCCAAATTATCAATTTTTGGGACCCGGGTTTTTTAAAAAATTACCAAATGTCTGAAAAAGGTAAAATTTTTGTGGACTTCCGCAATATGTTATAATTTGCATACAAATTATAACATATTGGACTCCCAAAATGGAACCTTTTTGGACTTTGGGGGATTTTTTAAAAAATCCGGGTCCAAAAATGGATAATTTTAATACAACTCTGAACCCTTTTTTAATGATCCCATCATGTGATCACTTATTGGATAGGTATTTTCATAAGCTTTCATATGGAAGCATATCGGTTGACACTATAAACTTTTCAAAATGCAACAATATGTGTTATTATCTTTCTTCGATCCAGAGATATGGGTCTTTGAACCCAAACGAAAAAATTTCAAAAAAAAAAATCCAAGAGTTTTTCCAAACTATATTTAAGACCAATTTTTTTTTTTTTAATTCGACTCAAAGACAGACACTATTTATCCACAGATACTGCATCAAGTAAATCACTTGGTAATATATTTTTTTTAATTTTTAAAATTTTTTATGCCTTGAAAAATATTTACCTTTTTAGATATTTGTTGTTCTTTTCAATATCCTCTATGTTTCTTAGGTTATAAACAAATTCGCCATAGTTGTTGTTTTGGAGAAAAAAAATTGTATTAATCCCAAAATTTTGCGAGTTGGTTGTCCAGCGGCTTGTTTGAGAATGCAAAATGTTAATTTTGCAACAAGTAGCACTAATTTTGTAATTTTCTTATGTTTTGAAATTGTTGTGCAAAATAAATATGTATTTTGTTGATAATAAATATTTGTTGTTGTTTTGTGCAATAATAATTCTTTAATTTTTGTTGATGTTATGAAACCGTCTTAGAAAATTTTTTGTAATATTTATTTTTTTATAAGTAAACACTTTTATTTGTTAACAATGAATTTTTTTACACTTTATATGTAACTTGTATTGATTTCATTTTTTTTAAATATTATTATTTGTTGTAAGAATATTTTAACATTTGTAAATATGATTTTTTTTATTTATTTATTTGTTGTTGGTTTGGTAATTGTATTTGTATTTTGTTTTAAGTATTTGCAGATATTGCAGACATTTTGTAATTTTTCATAATTTTCTTTTTAAATAACATTCATTTGTTATTTTTCAACACATTTTCATTTTGGCCCAAAGAAATAAAGTAAATCTTTTGTGTTTTTTTTTTCTTCTTTTTTTTCCTATATAGAATTCAACGAGTCAGCTAAAAACTGCGTTGAAAATAATAAGAATTTCATTAGTATGCGTTTTTTTTTAAAGGAGAATTTATTTTTTAGTTCAAAAACATAAAAAATACGCCACAAATTTGAAAAAAAAATAATTGAAGAAAAAAATATAAGACAAAAACACAACAAAAACAAATCATTAAAAATAAATCCAAGAAAAATTAGAGAGAGAAATCAAAGTTTTTCATAATGTGAGAAAATAAAAAGCAGAACCCGCAGAGAGAGGAAGAGAGAAGAGAGCTATGCAATTGTAAAAGGGACTCCAACTGGATTGTTTATCGATTTTTTTTAATTTTAAAAAGAACCCGTTTTTTAGGCTATTCATTAATTTTTCTATTTTTTCCGATTTTATTTTTTTTAATTAAAAAACTAAAAAAAATGTTTTGCCATCTCCATTTTTCTTTCCAAATAATCACAGCCACAATTAACCCGATTCTCCATGCGAGAGAGTGGGAGGAGGTTGTTACTCTTGTTCACAGTTACTCTCTCTCAATCACATACACGCACGCACTCTTGAGTTGTTGTTCTTGTTTTGTTTCTCATTTGCTTTTATTTTTCTGTTACCGCTTATTCTGATGTGAAAACGTCACACTCAATACCAGCAGGAACAACAACAAGAACAACAAGAAAAAAACCGACTAGCCAACGAACAGATAACCTTTGAAGACTTAAAGGCGTAACGAAACGTTGTGGGAAATGAAACACTTTGAAATTCCGTAAGAAGCAAATGTACGTACGCACGAATATCACACACACACATATGCACTCACTCGGCAATACACTTGCACTCACACTACCACGCACCTAGCACACACTCACACACACACTTGCTCACTCATCATAAAATGACGGAGACGGAGATTGCGACTACGACAACGAGACGACGACGAGAATACCACGACGACAACGAAAAAAAAAAACGATAACCAAAAAAATTAGGAAAAAATTAATTTAAAAAAAAAATAACAAAAAAAAGTTAAATTTATTTTCTTTTTGCGTTTCATAATCTTCTTCTACTTCTCACACTCTTGTTTTCCAAATGCCTTTTGCATTGCACTTCAAACTCAACAAAAAAATTTTTCTTCACTTTTTTCCTTTCCGTTTTCACTTCTTCTTCTTCTTTCCATCTATCTTCCATTCATTTCGAACGACGGCATTTTGCAGTGAAGAAGACAACAAAAACAACAAACTCAATTATGAATATTCTTGTAAAATTATCAATCAAACACTTTTCTGCTTCTTCTTTATCAACTTTGAATTTTCCTGCAATTTTCCACACACACACATTTCAAAATATTTTAGATTTATTTTTTAATTTTTTCCTCTTCTCATCATTTTATATATATAAATATTTTTTATCTATATATTCCTTCTTTTCTTCTTTGTTGTATGTGTGGCAAGAGAAAGAGAGCGAATATTTATTTTTTGTTGTTGTTATTTATTTTTTTTTTAATTTTGTTGAAACAAATTTATTTATTTTTTTCTTCTTTATTTTTTTGCTTTGCTTTGTGTTGTTGTTGTGGTTGTAGTAATATAAGATAATTATTATTATTATTGTGATTATTATAAAAGTCGCGAAGGCGCGACACTTTAACTGCCTCCCATCCGTACCAAACGAAATACAAACTCGAACTAAATACTCATTAGGCCAAGTAAGAATCTCAATTGGCGAGAAACAACTCCTTCGAAATGTATCCAACAGATACAATGCACATAGCAACAAACACACATTGTAATAATTCATACGCGGAGAGCGATAGGCGGAGAGAGAGAGAGCGCTAAAAGAGAAACACATACTCAGTAATTTACTGAGATAATGCATTCGGAGAGTGAACACGAAACATGACTCTCTTATTAAGAGTTCGAATGAGCATTCAACAGAAAATTGTGGGGACAATGTTTAGTCTCTCTATATAATATTAACCCTTTCGATGGCAGTGGTACTTTGAAGTTCCTGGATTAGAAAAAATATCCCATGTGTCATAAAATGCTAATGTTAAATGGTCTATCCGTTCAGTCCAATTGAAATGCATCAATTGAAGCGGGCTCGTTTATATAGAAATGATTTTTAATATAGTCCCACAAAAAATTGTCGCATAATCTAGTCGGCCAACTGATCGGACCGGAACCTGAAATATGTATGTTTACATGGAAAGTAAACTCTTGCATTTTGGGCCAAAAAAAATGGATATTATCTCACGGTAACGCTCATCATTCACAGTTACGTTACGATTCCTATCAATTTGGAAGGACTACTCATTCCGCCGATTAAACGCACCAAAGTGTAACTCTTTCTTCTTTCTGTAGCAGCGGTGGCGTTTGTAATAAAATGTGCACCTTCGGTTGGCCACCAGTACTCAAGCGCCGTCCCTGGTGATGGTGTGGGCCGCCATAACAGCCGATTGTCGCTCTCCGCTCGTATTAATCGATCGTGGTATCGTGGTAACCAAGAATGGTTATAATATATATGGAAACTATATCAAAATCTGCACAGATTATCACTAGTTTCAATGAGGTTCGTCCTTGGGTCAAACTAATGATCTGTGTAAAATTTCTTCACACTCGAACCATTTTTAAAATTTTTGGATATAGATGTCTTTGCAATCCATTGATTTGAGAGGTATGTAGTGTCGAAATTGTTAACCCTCAATCGAGACTTTTTTGCCCCTTTTTATACCCTTCACCATAGTATGGAGGGTATATTAAGTTTGTCGTTCCGTTTGTAACACCTCGAAATATACATTTTAGACCCCACAAAGTATATACATTCTTGATAAGCATAAAATTCTATATCGATTTAGCGATGTCCGTGCGTCTGTGGAAATCACTCTAGCTTCCGAACGAATTAAGGTAGATTGATAAAATTTTTCTCAAATGCAAATTGTCTGCAGGACTTTTGATATTGAAAATGGGCCATGTAGGTCCACGTTTCGGTATAGCCCCCATATTATGTTACCTCCAAATTTTCGATATTTTGGTGATTTAAGCGACATTATTCACCTGAACTGTTTCAAATTTGCTATTTAATGTTCGAAATGGATACTACAGCCTAAGACAGAAAATTGTCTGCGCAGGTTCACGTCTTTGTATAGCCCCCATATAACGCTACCTCCCGATATTCGGTAGTTTGATGATCTTAGCGATATTATTTACCAGTTTTTTTTTTAATTTAGTATTTGAAGTTCGGAATGGATATTACAGCCTATAACAGAAGATTGTGTCTGCAGATCCACGCCTTCGTATAGCCCCCATATAACGGTACCTCCCGATATTCAGTATTTTGATGATTGTAGCGACATTATTCACCGGAATTGTTTCTAATTTCGTATTTAAAGTTCGTAATTTGTACTATGGCCTAAGAAAAAATTGTCTGTGCAGGTACACTTCTTCGTACACCCCCCTTATAACGGTTCCTCTCGATATTCGGTGTTTTGATGATTTTAGCGACATTATTCACCGGAATTGTTTCAAATTTGTTATTTTAAGTTCGTAACGGATACTACAGCCTTCGGCTTAAGACAGAAGATGGGCCATGTAGATCCACGTATTCGTATAGCCCCCATATAACGGTACATCCCGATATTCGGTATTTTGATGATTTTAGCGACATTATTTACCGGAATTACTTCAAATTTTGTATTTGAAGTTCGTAATGGATACTACAGCCTAAGCCAGAAAATTGTCTGTGCAGGTTCACGCTTTATAACCCCCCATATCCCTATATTTTGATGATTTTAGCTACAAAGTTGTTTATGCAGGTCCACGTTGTCGTATGGACCTTAATATATGGCTACATTCGGTGTTTTTAAGATTTTAACAGAATTTTTAAAGGATTTTATTTTTTTTTTTTTTTTGAAAATTGTCAAATTTGTACAAAATGGTGGAGGGTATTCAAAGTTCGACCCGGCCGAATTTACAGCTTTTTTACTTCTTTTATTTAGGTCTTCGTTTTCCTGTAGCCCTTATGTAACTATACCTCCCAATATTGAAATTAAAATAGTTAAAATCGTTCTATAGGTCAAGGTTATCATATAACCCTCGTATTTTTTATTTAACTTATTATTCCTAATAAGACCTCTCAAATGCTGGACCTCGGTACTTAACGAAATATTTTCAAAAACTTAACTGGTTATTTTATCGTGTTTAGTTATTTTCTTCTGTCTCTCGCCACTGCTACTGTATTTTGCTTCGACCTCATTTGACGTGGCATATTATACTACATTTTTGGACGTTGGGCGCCAGGTTTCAATTTCTTTTTGGACTCAATACGGAAGATTGTGGCGTTTGTTCCTTGTGGGAGTACTGTTGAGGACGGTTTAAATGTGGAGTTGCAATAGCCGTGGCTGGTGTCTGACTTATGGAGAGACAATAGCTTAAATCTCTTTATGACCCTTATTTCGATCCTTTTGGTCTACGTGTACCATGAAGAAAATTCATATCTAACCGGTTTTGAACTAGATTTTACAATGAAATAAATCCATGAACATAGTTTAATATGGCACCCAAAGGGTTAACATTAACAAATCTGTTCCTCATAATAGCTCTTCTTTTATTTTTCTCTCTCTTTTTTACCCCACTCTTTTACCTCTTTATGCAATTAACACCCATACAATTTCCGACGAACCTCTTCAAACAACAAAAGGAAAACAAACACAAAACGAAATTATCATCAATTTTAAGAGCACATGAAAAAGTTTTACTATTCAGCAAGAGATTTGGCAACATTGTTATTTCTATGTCATGCATAAATCAGATGGCAAGGATTTTTGAAGAGAAAGAGAGAAAAAGGCGATTTGAACCGGCACTTGATGAACAAAATTAAGGGTCATTCTCTGAATTCCACAATAGAAATCACAAGGCCCCCCAAGAAATAAAACACCAACAGAACATTAAGAGAGCAAAACGAGAAAGAGAGCATGGGCAACACGGAGTACTTCAATTTAACTAGAAAGAGAGATTGAAGTTGAAAAACCAATAAAAATACCTTTGTATTCTAGCCAAATACCCACAGCGGGAACAAAAGTATCTCATAGATACCATACAAGGCACACACACTGGCATACATACATACCCACATGAAAAGGTAGGCAGAGAGTGACAACAAAAACAAACCGCAGTGTGTCGCACACACATATTCGCCACAGCAACGGCAACCACAGAAACCAACGAGACGGGCCGACCACAAGAAAAAACGGCGATGGCAGCGGTGGTGATGATTTTAATTAAATTTATTGGAAAAAAAAGATTTTAATTTGCATTTAATTAAATTACTTATAACAAAAATAATAATTAATATAAAGTTTTTTTTGAAATGCTCAGCAGAGAGTATACAACTCTCTCTCTCTCGCTCGGCGTCCAATCTCTCGTAGTCAATTCGTATTCTTTTCAAAATCTACAACAAAATTCATTGTATGTTTGATTTTCTTCATAGATTTTTTATTTATTTCTTCGCCTGTCTTCATTAAAATTGTCACGCAAATCTCAAGAGAGCTATGTCGGATTTTTTTTTACCGATTTTTGTTGTTTTGCTTTTTGATGACGAAACACATGTTGTGTGTATTATTGTTATGGGTTAGGGTGACCCCATCGTGTATTTCGTTGATAAGACTCAGATTGGCCTCTGACTGAAAATAAAAATCGAGAATTGCAGAATTGTTTCTATATTTAAAAATTGTTGTTTATTAAAAAATGTTTTTTTTTTCTAAATGATACCTGAAATAGATGCCAATAAAAACAAAAACAATCAACACCTGGGGTCAAGAGTCCAAAATTTCATAGCTTAAAGAAATATATTTTTGGAGGTATTAATCATGGATTTATTTAAGAAGCAGTGGACTATTAGAACGATCTTAAAAAGGTCGCACTAATGGGGGATTTTGAAAAGCGGTTTAGAGGATTTATGCACGGCGGAAAAAACCAATCAAGAGTGCAGGAAATACAAAAAAAAAAAAAAAAAAAAAAAAAAAACATAAATAAATAAATACGAAATAACTAGCCGAATCGAAAAAAATTATACTTGAATTTAAAAAGAATTTTTGGAATAGTTCCCGTTCTAACAGGTGAAAATCATGATATTTCGAAGGATTCACGGATCTCAAATCCTGATTTTTTATACCCTCAGCCATATGGCTAGGGAGGGTATATATCATTTGATACGACCAAAGCGTGCCTCATCGAAATATCGGTTTTCGACCCTAGGTCTCTTTGGACCAAATTCGTTTCAGGGCATTTGGAGTCGATCTAGCAATATCCGTCCGTCTGTCTGTCTGTCTGTCTGCTGGCTGCTACGCACGATAACTCTCGAAGAAGGAGCCGATTGGCTCCAAACTTGGCACATTGTAATATTATTATCAAACTTAGAACGAGTTCGAAGATGGACAATATCAGTCCCCACACAAAAGGTCGAAATTTTCAAAAAAACAAGTAAGATTGCATCAACCGATTTTTCCGATAGATGTATACCCCCGGCCTTGAGTTATGATTATTCAAACTGGTTTCATTTATACAAAGATTCCATAGCAGTTGGCTAATATTCACCAATTCTTATCAGACCTATGACTGATATCTTTATAACAGATCTTACCAAATATAGTCGTTATATTGGGGTCTATACGACGTGGACCTACATAGGCATTGTTGGCCATAAGCC